CTCTCTCTCTCTCTCTCTCTCTCTCTCTCTCTCTCTCTCTCTCTCTCCCCTCTCTCTCTCCATGTCCTTTTCGCTCGCAAAGTTTTCTCAATTTTTAAATTTCTATTGTTCTTTCTACTTTTTCTCGTTGTTTTTCTTTCTTGCTCTCTTTCTTTCTTGCTTTTCCCCTGCTTTGTTTCTCCGTCACTTAGTTAACACCCTTTTCTTAAAAAAACGCCCCCCCCCTCTTTCTGTAAAACCCACACGCAGCCCCACACCACACGTCACGTCAGTCTGCGCACAAAGCACAAGAGATCGCCGACTATCATAAACCTCCAGAGCATCCAGCCACGCGCCCTTCCGTCCGAGCATGCCTCCCTCCCCGCAATGATAACATCACACACATGCGTCCACACGATTAGACGTGAGTGCACACGGCGCTGCGCACTGTAGAAACATTGTGGTGCTCACCGCTGCAATTTGGGACCCGGAACAGGAAGTGACGCAATGTGCAATGGGCGGGGCGAGGAGCAATTACTGCTTCGGGTTTGTTTTACTTTTGGGTTCAAAGAAACCACATCGATTGATAAAGGTCATAGTATAGAGCACTTCAAAGGCAAGCGGCATAATTGTTTTAAAAAGAAGACATAGTAGAGAAATATTATTAAAAATCTGTACCTAGCGCACTCTCTTATCATGGTTTTGACGTAGGAGTCTAGCTATTACGTCTGGGCATGAGTACTATATAAAAATGCTTAAAACGCCTTAATTTATTGGTCACTTTTACACTTTAAAACGATAGTAACCATGAAAAGAACATGCACACAAATACATTGCTTGAGAATGGCTTTAGCTCCTCCATAAACTATCCGCACTAGCGAAACTTGGAGCTCATACAAAAACCTACTGAAGACAGAATGTCGTATTTTAAAAGGAAAGCCCATATTAATATTAGAATGTTTTATCTAAAAACGAAAAGGTTATCCACTTTCAGTTTGTCCATTTAAAGGACAAAACAATAGCACCCACGACCATATCATTCCGATAGATATTGAAAGTTGTAATTTTTCCATATAAAAAAAAAATGTTCGTTTCTTCAGCTTTTAAGATCACCTAATTTCCTTTTCCCCTCTGAGCGGCTGGTTTCCCTTTTCCTTACACACACAAATTTCAGTACATATCTACACGGAAAATCCCGATAAAAATCAGTTACTCCAAGCTTTTCTTACTCTCTTCAAAGCATGCACATGGGACAAGAAAGCGCCTGTAACGAAGGTTCAGTTCCTGAGGCAGCATTTCCGACCTCCTTTCCGAACGCCCAGCGCTGATGGGTGCGACAAACAACAGACGTAACAAGCTCCTGGTATCGGAATTCAAAATCAAAACGCGCGTCAAATGTAATTACATAACTGGATTCTTTTCTCCCGAGATTCTCCCTACCGCCACGCAGTCCCCGCCTTCATTTCTAGGGTATGGAAATCTACGTCGCATCGCGTTGCAAGGCACTAACTAGATGGATTTTCTACGCGATGAAGCAAAACAAAATTGCCAGAACCACGAAGCCACCTACTCGAGTAAGCCTCGATAGCATCTTTGAAACAGACTTGATACCAGGGAAGCTCCTAGATGCCGCCGATGGAAAAGTTAGGACGGTAGACGAAGTGTGGATCTAACGTACAGAGCACCAGTCATTGAACAAGGACAGAAGAAGAAAACAAGAAAAGGGGGCACAAGACGCAAGGAGCAAAAGAAATAATTACATGGCGCCATGTAACGGTGGACTAGGAGACGATTTTAAGCCGCAAAATTGTTGGAATGGGGAACATGCAAAGAAAATTGATGTTGTTTTTGATGAAATTTGAAACCCACTGAGAAAATCAGCAGCCAGAAGGGCTGACTCATAATGGAATTATTCGTACATGGTCAGTGGCCACGATAAAGCTTGTATAATCATACTTTCAATTAGTCAAGCAGTCAACAGTTTAAAATAAAGCCAGTTAGCGCAATCGGTTAACGACAGTAGAGATACAATATGGTCATGTTAACCATACAATTAGGTGATGTAAGAGCAGTCATTAACAATTAAGTCGTGAAAAAGATCTTTGTCGCGTCCGGGTATTTACATTTCATTCTACTCTACATCAGAAAATGGGAAACGTATTTACTGTAACGGCAGATCTTTGCCTGTGGCGTGACTCTGCAGACCTGGACCGCCTCTCTAGAAGTGGCGGGAAAAGCCCGCCTCGTGTCTCAGCATCTCTGCGGCATCGTTAAAACAAATGCTGCCGGAGACTCCAGAAGAGAGGCTAGCGTGCCTGGAATGTCTTCCAGCGACTTAGACCAGCGGAGACGAGTCACTTTTCCTGGGATTATTGTATTTACCCGGAACCTGGACGATGCCTCTAGCTGCACAGCGCATGTCTGTGTGGGAGACCTGGAACACCCGTGAACATCCCTTGTGAATCCTCAGACGATGGGAGAATTAATGCCAGAGAATTGTTTCGGCTTGTTTTAACTTGGTAACGCTTTGCTGCAACTTGATACAGATAATAGGATTTGGTAGAAGATTAGGTTTGTTTCGGGTATTCTAAGTTGGAAAGGGGAAAATAAAAAACTGCAATTCGGGCAATATCTTATTGGGGGAAAGGGGGGGGGGCGGTGGCTAAGGAAAATAAAAACCCAGGGCAATGTTGTTTGCTGGTGTCTGTTCGTTTGTGCGAGTCAAAGATCAAAGGTTGCACATAGACAAACGTACGACTTATTCGATATCGAATAATAAGCGTGCCAGACGGGAAAGACAGAAGACGGGTAGGTAGAAAAGGTGTCGGACCTACTATATAGGCAAATTGTCCTTAAACTAATTGTGGCATCAGGGGCTCAGGGTGACAGAGATCTATTCCTGGATTTCTTACAAGCAAAGAAATACATTTTCACGCTGAAAACCTTGATGGGTCTAGAGAATATTACGAAATTAGCAGGAGAGACACATGTAAAAGTGCAGTGTATATTTATGGGTACAAAACACCTAACTGCCGAAAATGATGACGGGACAAGCGATGAAATGGGATGTTGATGGGGACATCTGTGGTCCACTTCTTCATTTATTTACTGTTTTGTCTTTTATTCTAAACTTTTCGAGGCGAATTGTGGTCATCATCGTTGTG